GCACGCCTGTAATCAGCACTCGGGAGGCTGAGGCAGGAGGATTGCTGTGAGTTCGAGACCAGCCTGGGCTACATAGTGAGTTCCAGGTCAGACTCACTACATAGTGACACCCTGTCTCAAAAAACAAACAAACAAAATAATAATACAAGCCAGGCGTGGTGGCACACACCTGTAATCCCAGCACTGGGGGTGCTGAGGCAGGAGGATCTCTGCGAGTTCCAGACTACAAAGTAGCCTCAACTACATAGCGAGACCTTGTCTCAAAAAACCAAAATAAATAAATAAATAAATAATACAAAAAGGATATAATGCAGGCTTGCCAGAGGACATATAGGATGTCCAGTCACACTTGAATTTGGGGCAATGATTTTTAATATAAATATATTCACAGTATTCTTATACATGTGAAATATCAGTTGTTTACCTGAAATTTAAACTAGGCACCCTATATTTTTACAAAATTTGCTAGTCCAGCAACCTTAACACAGGGTAAAACATAAAAGCCATTCTTCATCTCTTCCTTTTCCACTGTTAAGAGTTTGGCATGCACATTTTTTTCTTTAAATTAACTACATATACAAACACACACACACACACACACAAACACATATGCACATATTCTACATATACAGAAGTGTACCATACACATTCTTGCAGCTTCTCATTTGTCCAATGTCTTAAGATCGCTCCATGTCACTACGTATCTTTCTACCACATTCCTTGTCGCGGCGACAGGGCACACTGATGAGCTTAAGATACTGATGGACTCTTCTGTGGGGAGGGACATTATACAAACTGATGATGCCTCACAGCAGTTCCAGCTTTGTGCCTGGCATCCTCTGATAAATTTTCCTTTCTTTAAGTTCCCCTATGCCTGGTTTACACGGAAGGGATTGTGGTCCATATACAGGCTGTTTTTTGTGTTACCACTAAGATTTCTTGCAACTGTTTTCCCTCAGATCGCTCAGGTTTCCATTCCCCTTTCCCGAGGTCCTCTGTAGCCACCTTGCATTCTTTGGATTAGCTGAGAGTACAGCTCAAGCCTATGAACTATTTTTCCACGGCTGGAGGGGCTCTCGATCCAGACTGCACCTCAGGCCCATTGCAGGCCACAAGTCCCCACACCTCAGGTGGCCGGGCACAAATTAAACATGAATCGCTCTCTTTCAGGGTCCCCCACCTGCTTCCTTGCTAATCTGGACGCTAACCTGTTAACCGTCAGGACAGCTAACACAGGCGAGCTCTCTCTAAATCCTAGTCACTTCCTTGTGGCCCCACGGTGAACTCATTTCATCCTCAGAGTGTCTCTCTAAAGTAGATACTATCATTGCCTCTATTTGACAGATGTGGCAACTGGACCCGAGGGTAGAAAATTTACTTGCCCCAAAACACTAGTTAGCGGCAGAACCAACACCTGAATCCAGGCAGTTTGAGTCTTTGCGCTCTAAACTGTCACATTACTTAACATTCCTCCCTGGGTAACCCCAAGGCTTCATCCCAGGACCCCCACAAGATACCACAATCTGCAGATGCTCAAGGCCTTTATATAAAAAGGTAGCAGTTGTATATAACCTACACATATCCTCACATATATTACTTTTTTTTTTTTTTAAGAGTCTCACTATTTAGTTCAGGCTGGCCTTGAACTCACCGTGTAACTTAGGCTGGTCTCACACTACCAGCAATCCTCCTGCCTCAGCCTCCCAAGTGCTGGCATTACAGGCATATATGCACCATACCCAGCCCTGTCACATACTTTAAGTCATCTCTCTATTACATATAATTCCTAATACAATGTAAATAGTTTCTATACTATATTGTTAAGAGAATGAAAAGAAAGTCTAACTATGCTTAGTACAAATGCGTTTTATTTTTGGTACTGGGGATCAAACCTAGGGCTTCACAATGCTAGGCAAGCACACTACCACTGAACTACATTCCCAGCCCTTATTTTACTATTATTTTTTGAGTCAGGGCCTTGCTAGCCTTGTGATCCCTCTACTTTAGCCTCCTGAGTTGCTGGGATTATAGACATGTACCAACACAGCCAGCATAAATGCAATTCTTTTCCCCCAAAGATTTTCTCTGTGGTTGGATGAACCCATAGATGCAGAATCCACAGATAAGGAGAACTGACTTTATTTGAAAGCACAAATCACGCTAGTTGACCAACCAAATGCCATCGCTAGGCACGGGCCCGGCTGATCCCTCTACTAGCTTCCATCTTGCTCTCTATCCTCCTGGTCTTTTGAAGCTGTAGCTTTAAAACTACTTACACTGGTATCTTAGTTGTTGAGACAAAATACCTGACACCCAAAGTTAAAGGAGGAAAGATTTATTTGGCTCACAGTCTGCAGAGGTTTCAGTCTATAGTTGCTGGCTCCAAGACAGGTGTCATGGCAGAGGGGCATCATGGAGCAGGTAGGCAGAAGGCAGCAAGCAGCAAGCAACAAGTGATGAGCAGCAACCCTCTTTCCATCCCTTATGTCATCCAGGCTACCTAACTTTAGGGCAGGTAGCACTCATACCCAGGGCACCCTTTATCCTAGCACTGCACCTGAATCAATCCCAGCATCACATCCTTGATGCCAGCATCACACACCCTAGCCGGGCGTGGTGGCGCACACCTGTAATCCCAGCACTCGGGAGGCTGAGGCAGGAGGATCGCTGTGAGTTCGAGACCAGCCTGGGCTACATAGTGAATTCCAGGTGAGTCTCAACTACATAGTGAGACCCTGTCTCAAAAAACCAACAAAACAAAACAAAACACACCCTAGATCCAGCTACCTCTGATAAGCCCCATCTATGACTGCCATAACCACTGGTTGGCCAGAAGGAGTCAGTCCAAGGGCCAAACAAGCTCTTCTTGTTTTTGTCTCACCTGTTTTTCACTCAGAGAAGAGGTTGATCCCTTTCCTAACCATCATCAAGGATCCTAGCAAAAGACAGGCTACCGAGAGAAAAGCGTCATGTACTTCTTTGATCGTAGTATATTTGACTCAACAACCTCCGGGTGAACTATCCATTCTTATGTGTGCTTAAATTTGGACAGCCGTGCAGAAATAGGATTGGACACAAAAGGGTTGATAAAGTAATAGTGACCGAAGGAGAAACCCAACACAGCTCTTCTGTCTAGATTCTTTTTGACCCATGTGGGCAGCATTCCTCCTTCCCAAGTGTGGGGCAGGGCCCCTTTCTGGAATGGGGGAGCCTGTGACCTACAATCAAACAAGGCAGGTGACAGAATTTTTTTCTTCTGTTTTGCAGTTCTGGGAATTGAAACCAAAGGGTGCTCTATCACTGGGTTACATTCCCAGCTCTTTTCATCTTTTATTTTGAGACAGGGTCTTGCTTAAGTCCCTAAATTGCCTTGAGCTTGTAATCTTCTTCCTGGCTCGGCCTCCCAAGCAGATGGGAAATTACAGGGGTGTGCCACTACACTCAGCAGAGAATTATTTTATGGCCAACTGTTAGAAAGAGTGGGTGCACAGGGCTGGGGATTTAGCTCAGCGGTTCGGTGGCCTGCCTTGTAAGTGCAAGGACCGGAGTTCAATCCCCGGTACTAAAAAAAAAAGAAAGAGTGGGTGCAGGTACAGTAGTATTTCTAGGTTTTATGGTTGGTTTGGGGAAAAGGGGCTTCTGGTTCTTACAGCCTGGCCTGGTAAAGAGCAATTAAGACAGGAAGTCAGAAACTACTTCTAAAGCCTTTACTATGGGGTAGTGTTTTCTGAACCTCAAAACAGCTAAAAAAAAAAAAAAAAAAAAAAAAAAAAAAAAAAAAAAGAGAGTGGGTGCAGGTACAGTAGTATTTCTAGGTTTTATGGTTGGTTATTATTCCACAAATGCACACAGAGCGCCAGTCTGGCCCAGAGGCATGGTGGGTGCGTAAGACAAGCACAGACCCAGCAGCGAGACTCCTGTCACAGGCTGGCAAGGCGACCCTGAGAAGAAGCCACTCCCCGGCCACAGTTAAGTCAGCCCAGGGAGAGCCAAAGCACTTGCCAGTTTGGAGGAAGAGTTGTTAAGGATTAAAGCAGAAGACAGAGAAACCGTTATTCCTAGCTATCTCTGAAAAAATCCATCACAGAGCAAATAAGAGTTCACACAAATGTCACTAAGGTTTCACCTCAGGTCCGAGTCACAAAAAGTGATAACCTCCAAACCCCAAGCCGCGCATGACTGAAAAGCTGTTTTGCACTGCAGAAAATACTGTCTTCTATGAAAAGTTCAAAGTTCCTAGGTCAGTCCAGGGAATGCTGACTTGATCAACTCAATTGCTGAAGCGAGAGAAAGTTCAACCCTCTCCCAGGGAAGGCACTGGCCAGAATAAATTAATAAATGCCTGGCCAGGGGATGTGGTCTTTCCACTCTGCTGACATCCCCAGGTCCCCACTATCACACCCACTTCAGATGGAAATAAAATCGTTCACTGTTCTTCTCTCAACACTTTCACCCCTTGAGCGGACAGAGTTCCGCCTTGTAGTTCAGGCTGTCCTCAGATTCACCGTGCAGCCCAGCTGGCCTCAAACCCAGTGATCCTCTTGCCTCAGCCTCGGAAGCGCTGAGATAACAGGCGTGCGTCACCACACCAGGGGTCCGTGATATGCTTTGCAGACTAACAAAATGAAACAAAAAGTTCTAGTAGAATGAGGGAAGATATCTGGGGCAAAGAAAGGAAAAGAGATAAAAATGATTAACTGCTCGCTCCGATTAGAGACACGTCACAGTCCACGATGTATTTAATCATCCCAGGACAGTTCAGGGTAGGAACCAGTCAGTCACAGTGCCTAAAACCACACAGCTGTAAGGGATAAAGTAGAGATTTAAACCAGGGGCAGGGATCTAGCTCAGTGGTGCCACACCTACCTGGTAAGCAGAGGTCCTGAGTTCAAACCCTGCTGGGGGGGTCAACAATCAACTGCAGCTTCTACCCTGATCTCTTCGATTCCCACCTCACGCTCCTTCTAAACTCAGGTTTTCTAAAAGCACTAAGTTTGTTTATTTGTCGTGGCACTGAGGACCAAACCCAGCATCATGTACATGTTAGGCAAGTGCTCTACCACTGGAGCTAAGTTCCCAGCCCTAAAACCAGAGTTTGTTTTTTCTGTTATTTTTTTCCATAACAGTTCCCATTATCATAATAGGGCGTTGGTAGTAAGTAGGGGAAAAATCAAGGGGACAAAGTCTCACTGATTGTACAGACAGGTTATTTGTATCTGTGACTTATAAGCAAATAATTCTCGTCACAGGCTTTGAAAGAAATCTAAGTGTAGGTGGGACACTTAGATGAAAAACCTTTTTAAAGACAAGAAATGGTAGGAAAAACTCACAGGAGGCATTACTGGTTTTTTTCCCAGACCATAACTAAAAGATTGTAGATTTTACCTCTTTAGAATTACACAGAGAAAAGATCTCATTTTCCCAGGGAGAAATTGAACCATTCTTACCTCCAGTAATGGCTGCCATCCAAGCAGTTTATGTAACCTGAGAAACTAAAGATTGTTTACATCCAGCTTAACAGTGACAAAAGGCCCACATCTCATGGAATTATCCATGCTTGGCCCTTTCCTCATGGATCAAAACATTTTGGGGACATGGTAATGTCAAGATAATTCTTTATCGTGTCAACTTATTACTTTACCTCAGCCTGCATATATTTTTTTACATAATTAGATATTTAAAAAGCATATAAAAAGTGAAAATTGTGTCCATCCTATGCTCTATACCCCAGCTATCCAGGTTCTTTTTTTTGAGACAGTCTCACTATGTAGCTCAGGCTAGCTTCAAACTCATGGCGATCCTCCTGCCTCAGCCTCCCAAAGTGCTAGGATTACAGGCTTGCTCCACAATGCCGGTCTCCAGGTTCCTTCCTTAAGAATAACCACTGACACTCATTTCTTAATATGGGTTTTAAGACATCAGAATCAACCAAGAGTTGCAGAAAGCCTTTTCATACTTTTACGACAGGGACAATCTGCTTCCTGTTATGACATGTGAATTCTATGGCAATACTAAAGCAATCTATGAAAAAACTGAAAGACAGGGCCTCAAAAGGGGAACTGGGGTCCATTCAGAATAACCTCAAAGACCACTAAACCTATTAGAAAGCACTATTTTATATTCTAACGATATTCTCCTTCAATTTCTGCTTTGAAAATAGCATTTATTCCTTTTAGGATAAATTTTCTAAATGACAGTAGAATGAAAATGTCCTTCTTGACCCAGAACTAAGAATATTTGAAAAGCTTTGACTCAACTTGGCATTTTGTGAAGCTGCGTGCATCCTGATAAGAAAATGCTAGCAAACATTCTCGAGATGCGTTGCCAGGAGGGACGGGGAGCCGTCTTTTCTCACTTTTAGGAATATTTCTTTCAAGACCCTCTCAGGAGTCACAGACACACAGATGGTTATGCGAATGGCCTCCCACAATTTATACTTCCGTACAACTGGCATTTCCACGCACTTGGCACTTTAGTACAATTGGCACTTTCCTGCCTACCAAGAAACTGGTGCTTCCTGGGTGCCGTGTGACTGTGGCTCACGCTTCCTATGAATTCCCAGGACCGCTTGGGCTTTTAGATCTATGTGACTCTTACGGCAGAACTAAATATGGCAAGAAGTGAGGGAGGTGTGTGTGTGTCCTAGTAGGGGGTGGGCAGCCATGGAAACCAGGGAATGAAAGAAGGTACTTACAGCTGATCTCCCACTTCCTGGCTGGCTCTGAAATTCTAGGCTATAGATCAATTCTCCTTGGCTTCCATGAGCGATCCGATTCTGCACAGGCACAAGTAATCTCTTTGTGATTTTATCTCATGCAGGGCTCGGATGAAGCTTAGCGGCCCAGCGCCAGCCTGGCAAGCTCCAGGCCCTGAACCCGATTTCCGGTACAAAAAAAGAGAGGGTTGAGCGCTCAGCAGAGAAAAATGACTCAGCAAAAATGATTCTAAGGGATCCTTTCGACCCTTGCCTTGCCCTCCTGACTCTAAAGATGTCTGGACATAAACAGGAAGGGGAACTGTGCCTGATCCTTCTCCACATCACGCCCTTTCCTACCAGTCAGTCCCCTGAGTTCCCTGTTCACAGGCTCCTCACTGGTGATTACCGGAAGTCTGCTGAGGCAGAGTCCCCTCTCCAGGCCAAGACCGGAAGCTCAGGGCACCTAAAGACAACCAGAGGTGAGGAATGGGATCCTCGCGATATTTTTATCTTAAATTTTACTGAAGAGATGAAAGTTTATGGGCAAAACAAGGCTCTCGGTTTCCCTGTTGACCTCAAATCGTGAGCCTATTTAAACATCTAAAGAGAGAAAACAGACGAAAGGACAGGCCGAAAAGAAAACTTCAGAACTTCTTGCAAGCAGAATTTGTCTATCCCACCAGAGAGCAGAAGGTATTAATTCTCGGCTTCCCGCCAGTTTTAAGACCTCGTTTTCTGTCTCGTCGCACCATAACGCAAGAGATAAATGCAATTTACCTTTTCCCTTGCTGCAATCAAATTGCAATTGTAATTATTTATTTATGCAACTGCTGGGTTAAAATCTATCTCTTCAACTAAACTGCAAGGCCCTCAAAGGCCGGGGCCTCGTTTGTCTTGCTGACTTGATTTCGCTGAGTTAAAAGGTTCGTTTGTTTGTTTTATGGTATGGTATGGTAACGAACTCAGGACCTTGCACTTGCTAGGAGGTTGCAGTGTCACTGAGCTAAATCCCTGGCCCTGAATTCAAAGTTTTAAAATCCATGAATTAATGCATGATCCTGATTGCCTAAGGACTGCGATGAATTGTTCACCTAGTCAGGTGGCCTAGTATCTGGACGGAGTCCGACTCCTTTCCTTAACTATATGCTTGTTGAGCAGAAGGGAGGCTGAGCATTATACCTCCGCGGACCCCAACAGCCAAGTTCTCCTCTCTTAGCTTGCACTATGGGGAATTTCTGGGACGGATAGGCCTCAAGGAGAATCTGACAACGGAACATGGAAGTAGAGAGGGCGCGTGTTTTGATTTTACTGCTTCAGAAAGAGCACAGGGGAAGAACTGGGAGCCACGCCCCCCCCCGGAAAAGAACCAAAAACTGCAGTTCAGATTGCCCCAGGATTTCTGAAGCTTTGTTTAAATCTCAGTAGACTTTTTGACTAACCAGAGGCAAAGCCTGAATGGGTAATCGGACGCCAAATCCTAGAACGATCTGCATTCATTCTGGTTTTTTCCAAGCACCGATCGCCGCACCACCCTGTTCCCAAAGTCCACGCACTCCCGAGTTAGTCGGTCCCAAGCTCCGGGGACTTTGCCCCGGGACCCTGGTGCCGCGGGCGGCCCGAGCGAGCCGGGGTGTGTCACGAGTGCTCCTGGGGTCCGCCGGCGGACCGGGACCGGATGCAACCCACCTTCCAATTCGGCAAAGCCGAGCACCACGTCTGAGGCTTTCCCCTGCCTGTCTCTGACCTCCAGGGCTGTGATCGTGCAGCCCCAGGAGATGATGTCCACTCTCAGCTGGTCTGACTGCAGCTGGAACTTCTCCACTGTCCCTCCCCCCGAGGGCAGCTCTCCAAACACGTTTCTGGTCACCGAAACCATTGGGAAAGTTCGGGGCGCGCTAACACGCTCAGTCCTTCAAACGCCAGGGGCCAAGCCCGAAGTGACTCAAATTTACTGGAGAAAGGTCGGGACTCTGCTTAGGCGCCTCCCCTTCCTCGTCTGGATTTAGGGAGTGACCAATCCTGGAAAGAAAAAAAAATCCTCTGGGGCTTTTCTAAATCTTTTGCCCCGGGCGCCAGAAGGACACTCTTGCAGCCCGGCTTTCAATCTTTTCCTTTACTTACTTGGCCGCACTGCATGTTGGGAATGGTAGTCCTTGGGAGGTGACATCGCATTTTGGGGCCTGTAGTCTTTCTAAACCCAAAACCTGAGTCGGGAAATTCAACTGGCTTCTGGGATGAGCTGACGTTCCCGGAGCTCTCCCTTCTTGTTCCTGAAGTCCAACTTCCTTTAGGAGAAATTAAGTGAAAAGCTATAGCGAGATCCCTGTAGACGCCAGCTTCCGTATCCACAAGTAGGAATAAATCCATAAGTACAAAAGTCCTGAGGTCATTAAATATTGTCATGCTTTAGTGTGCCCTCAGCATTATCTGAGGAGGTATTAAAATGCATAGTCCTGCCGGGCTGGTGGCGCATGCCTGTCATCCCAGCCCCGGGGAGGCTGAGGCAGGAGGATTGTTGTGAGTTTGAGACCACCCTGGGCTACATAGTGAGTTCCAGGGCAGTCGGAACTACATAAATAAATAAACAAAATGCATATTCCTAGGCCAACTCTTGCAATTTCTGATTCTCAGAGCCTAGGGTGATAATTCGGAATCTGCATTTTTTACATCCCTCAGGTTATTCTGATGGTATTATCTCGAATCAGATGTAGTGAAAGACTTGATAACCGGGGATTTAGCTCAGTGGTTCCACCTGCCTCACCAGCAGGTCCTGAGTTCAATCTCTGGTACCAACAAGGAAAGGAAGGAAGGTAGGGAGTTGATGGCTAACTGTAAGATGGACTACAATTAATCTATTAGAGAGCCTTGGTAAGACTGAGATAAAATATGGGTAACTCTGTATTTCACTAGAAAGGCACTGGCTCTGGGGAAGAGGCAGTGCTGGAAGCCTAAAGACACGTTTTACTCAGTTGTCTTCATATTCAGTCCTCTTTGCTGGGCCCCGCTTTTGGCCTGGTTCCTGGATGCTTCAGACAGCATCCAGCCAGATTGCAGTGTGTTGGGAAAGGCATCTGTGGTGAGGAAATTAGGAGGACTGGTATCATGTTCCTCTAATCAGATGCTAATAAAAATGTCTCTCGGCCTTTTCTGTGTAGTTTAAAGGAGTATTTAGCATTCTTACCACAAAGCCTCAATTCTCCACCGTGAGCCATGGAGGAATTCTGATAGCAGAGGCAAAGCAGGCTTGCAACAGGCCTAGGGACTCGCAGCCTATAATAATCACAACAAAAAGCCCCAAGCAAGTCAAATTACAGGCCCGGCTACATGCACACAATAACAGACAGGCACTCCTGCCTGCTGCTTCATCAGAAATTCTCTTCAGCTCTGCAAGTCCCATCAGCCCACTTAACGGTTGTGCCTGACTCACGCACAAGCCCTTTCAGCAATGCTGTGTTAGCGAGGATGTCTTCGAATCTCTTCTGTGAGCAGGAAGTCCACATTTTTTTTTCCCTCTCTCTGCCTCCAGTTCTCAGTGTTCTGCCAAGTTTTTGCCATCACAGAAGAAATGAATACATTTGAGTAGCCAGTACCAAGATGCCTGGCTTGGGAGAAAATGAAACATAGCATGATGTCTCCCTAAGGTGGAAGGAGTACACTTCTTGATTTCATTTTCCTTTCACTTTGAAATCGTTAACAAATTGTTCCAAAGAGGACCACCTTGAGTTTCAGTCAGCTGTCAGACACGGACTGATTTTTTTTTTAACTGGCCCACTTTCTTAATCTCACAGTGATATGCTGCAGGACCCCGCACCCCATCTAGGTTAATATTCTTCATCTGTGAGAAGGTCGGAAGCAAGGAGGGAATATAAAAAATGAAACACTACGGGCCCGGGATTTAACTCAGTGGCACCACACCTGTCTTGCAAGCGCAAGGTCCTGAGTTCAGTCCCTGGTACGAAAAATGAAAGGAAAGGGCAGGGAAGGAAAAAGAAACACTGCCGAATTCTGGGAAGTATTTCATTTAATTTTGAGCTAAACCTGAGGGCATGGTTATGAGGTAAAGGGAGTAGGATCTGTGACGTTTTTTGTAAAAGAGGAATTCTTTTTTCTTTCAACTGGGAGGAGGGGAAGGTGTCAGGTGTACGAATAAAAGAACAAAGCCTGATTCTCCTCAGCTGGAGGTTAGTCCCCAAAACAGAGCCAAGCTGGGCCTGAGGAAACCAGAGTCCTCAGACCCTGTCTGTGCCCTCCTCCTCCTCCTCCTCCCCGCCCTCCTCCTCCGCAGCATGCACTGTTCCTGGGACCTCTTAGCCTCTGAATTCATAGAAATGACTTTAAAACTTGAAGCTGCTGCCAGCCTGCTGCGCTTACCGAGATATAATTACAAAACCAACTCTCAGCTTGTCTGTAAGGAAAGCTGGAATGGATTCTCCTCCATCCCGTTGATATGTTACTGCAGACCTGCTCTCTGTCTCATTGCTTGCTGGTTCTTCTTGGGATTCCTTATCTTTCCATGAGATTGGCTCTTCAACTCAATATTTTGACTTAAATTTTTTTTTTTTTTTGTAACTCAAACTCATTATATTTTGTTGCAGATAAAAACTCCTGTAATTGGAAGCCAGGTATACCAGGGAGAATCCTATGAAGTTCCGGAGAGGTACATGTCTTCACAGTGCAGTTCAGGCCAGTTTCATCAAAAATTCTGAAGGGAGGGGCTGGGGATTCAGCTCAGTGGTTCCGGTGCCTGCCTCGCAAGCGCAAGGGCACGAGTTCGATCCCCGGTATCCCCCAAAAAAGACGGGGGAGGCATCATGGGGGGCACGTGAGAAGTTATTTAGGAAGATGGACCAAGTTTGCCTGTGTGACATGTTCTTCAGTTGTCAGCTATTAAGTGAGTATTTGCCAAACACTGTGCTAAATGCTGATTATACCTTAATAAAGAAGATAGGATCTTCTTTGAGCAAATTCTAGTTTAACATGATACGATCTTCATCTCTAGCCTCTATAAAAACTCCAGTTAAATTTTCAGAATTCACTCTGGATGAAGGGAAATGTGGGGACTGCTCTCAAGGTATTTGTAATTTCAGGATTGCTCACAGATAACTAGCTATATTAGGATTATTTTAAAATTTCTAGGACCAAGCATAGTGACTTGCACATATTAGTTGTTCAATAAATAATTATTGAATGAGTCTAGGATACATTCTTCCATGTAGATAATGCTCTTGTGAATGCTGTCTCGGTACCAGAACTCCTGAGTTCGAGAGGCACTAGTACTTACTGTCTGGGTAATTAGTTCAACCACTTTGAACTTCAGTCCCCTCATCTATAAAATGGGAATAATTCATATTCATTGGTCCATCCAGTTATTATTAATTGAATGCTATTAAGCATAAAGTGTTGGTAATGCTAGTAAAATGTTAGTAAACATAAAACTTTCCTTGGTACCATCCTGAAAGTGTATTAGGTACTGTGGTCAGTACCACTGACCAAACACTATTATCTGATACAGAACCTGAGACTTACAGAGGTTAGAGTTGCTCAAGGTCACACGGTTGGTTAGTGAGTCAGGAAACCAAGATTTTATTCTAGGTAGCTGGGCTGCAGAGATAGGAGCACGTAACCACTTCCTTATCTGCTGCCTGGGATTGTGATCATCTGAGAACACGAACCATTTTGTACACTCTCATACATTGCAGTAATGTAAACATGATCATCTTCTAAGGCAATTGTAGATTTTTAAAAATTGGTTGCTTGCATTGGGTCACATTGGTCTCAAGAGAGTTTTGCATTCACTTACTGTAGATAAAGAAGGTCCTGCCTGGTGTGGTGACACATATCTATAATCCCAACACTTGGGAGGCTGAGACAGGAGGGTCTCCGAGAGGTTGAGCCCAGCCTGGGACAAGCCTAGGTATAGTGAGTTCGAGGCTAGCCTGAACTGTCTAGTGAAACCCTATCTCAAAGACAAAAAAGAAGAAAAAGTTCTTAACAGCCACAGATCCTACTTTACATTAGTACTATTTGTTTTTTTATATGCATGCATTAATTAATTAATTTACTCAGTTTTTGGTATCAGGGATCAAACTCAGGACCTTGCACTTTCAAGGCAGGTACAGTGCCACTGACCTAAATCCCCAGCTCTGAAATCTCAATGTAAAGTGAGCTTTTCATTCCCACTAGTGTCAACCAAAGCCTGAATTGAATCTCATTGGGCAGGCTTCATCCGATGCCCTTCCTAAACTGATTATCTGATCATTGTAGGGTGGGGTCAGCTTTATCCCAAAATATAGATTGGGAGAGGACATGGGGGATTTCCTGAGGGAAATCTGGGTGCTATTTCCACTCTGGGAATGGACGCTGAGCACACAAAAACAACATGTACCCAGAAAAGAGCGACGGGACTACATTTAAGCATTAAGAATATTTTGAGAACTGGGGGTTTAGCTCAGTGGTTCTGCCGCTTGCCTTGCAAGCAGAAGGTCCCAAGTTCGATCCCAGTACCCCACATAAAAACAAAAACAAAACAAAACTATGGCAAATCCTCCACTTATGAACATTCAAGTTATGAGCTATCACAGATCTAAACAGACCTCACATCACAAACATTTAGGCTGGGGATTTAGCTCAGTGGTTCCCCTGCCCACCTTGCAAGAGCAAGGTCCCAAGTTTGATCCCCGGTACCAAAAAAAAAAAAAAAAAAAATATTTTGAAACA